TCTTTCTATATAACATAGATATTATCGGACTGGAAGTGCACAGGGAACTCATACTTGCGACCGAATTTCATAGGCTTGGACTCCAACTTGCTTTGTTTGCTTTATGACTTGGACTCTGTACCCCTCTCGGACTCGCTCAGCCGTCAACCAAGAGTATGGATAATTACTTTTACTTAATTGTGAAAGTAATTGTAGATAAGTGGAACATCATCGCACCTTTTATCCCAACAGTTGAAACTTTGTACCTGAATGAATCATCACCACAAATGTTTTAATGCAAATTATAGGATAAATAAATAATTATAGGAGTCATTTGTCGGTTATTGTTGTAGTAATGGGTTTTACTAGAACATCATATTATTACTGAGGAATTGACAAAGAATCTGAAGGTGTTGTCAAAGCTGAAAATATCGGATAAAAGTTACACGAACAAAAAGTACTATATTCTACAAAAATGTTGATATACTTTTACAATCAAGCAAAAGTAGGTTGTAGGCAATAATCTTACCAGAATTATCATGACATGTTTTGAGGTTATCATTTCCATTTAATCTATTTATACGGGGAAAAATGCTTTTCTAATTTGTCACATTAATATCAACATATCAAACGTATTCAATCAACAGCAGCACAAATGGCAAACGCAACAGTATCATCGTCATCGTCTTCAGATGCAGCTCTAATATCAACATTAAATTATCTTTCATTTCAATTGAATCAATATTTATCAATATTCATTTTGATATTTGGTACAGTTGGTAATTTATTGAATATTTTTATTTTTCTACAACCATCACTAAGAACAAATCCATGTTCAATATATCTTTTATCATCATCATTCGGTGCAGTTGGTGCATACTCTGCTGGTCTACTTACTAAATTACTGTCGATTTATAATTGGGACTTAACAGCATATTCTAACCCTCTGTGTAAAATAAAAACATACATTCTTTTCATCTCATTTACCTTATCAACCTGGTTTATCGCGTTAGCATCAGGTGATCGTTATTTAATCAGTTGTTCTAATATGGCAAGACGCCGTTTGAGTAATCTAAAAAATACTTATCGTTGCATACAGATAACAATTATAGTAACACTCCTATTATTTGTCGAACTATTTTATTGCTATGAAGGACAACAATTCACTGGCTCACCTCAACCATGTTATAGTAAAACTCAAACATGTCGCTTGTACAATGATTTAGTATTTGTTACTCTATTTGTCATATTACCATCCATCATCATGTTCTTTTTCGGTTATTTAACTATTTTAAATATACAAAGGTTACGACGCTCAATTGCTCCCACATCAACGACTACTTCAACAGCGTCATCTCAAGCAAAAGGGCTAAAACGATCAGATAGACAACTGATTAGAATGTTAGTTGTGCAAATATTATTACAAACAATATTTATACTACCATTTGCTGTACAACGTTTGTATAACACATCAACGACTAATGTAACAAACAAAACATTAGTACGCGTGGCAGTTGAAAACTTATTATTCCAACTTGTGCAAATTTTACGTTATGTTAGTTATGGTGTATCATTCTATTGTTATACTCTTACGGGTACAGTATTTAGATATGAACTATTAAAATTACTTTATCGTTTAAAAATTATAAAACAATTACCAGTACCATCACAAACGACAAATACACTTGTCACAAAGAATTATCGTAGTACTGTACTCCATCTGACTGATGGAAAATAGTAGACACATATCTGTTTAGATAGGTGTCAAATTTACAGTAAATGTTGTTTCGTTTCATGTACTGTGAACAAGTAACGTTCATCTTCGACTCAATTTATCGTTTGACGTTTGGATTTATTAGACACCTGTAACTATGATATTTGTCCTTATTATACACAAGCACATTCATTTCCCTTTTGTTTTGCATTAGTATTTGAGAAGCTGTCCAAGACTTCGCACACTTCGGGAGCATTCTGCATAACTTCTAAGGATCTCTAGAAATCTGGCTCCACGCTTAAAGTCATCTTATTTTTAGATCTTATCGAGCTTACAGTGAAATATCTTAAAAGACAATGATATTCACATGAGAGAGAAAGAAAGAAAAGTTATCAAATACTCACAGGTATCTGGCTTACCAATCAAAAGGTAAAAATTTATCTTGTGGTCTAGTTCACATTTCTATTGTAAAATGCTTCTAGCAAAGTATTTTTCAATTGTAATAAATATATTTGGTTACAGTTGAAGTTTCCTTAGCGCATCTTTATGACTGCTAGAGAGCTTTCTGGGACCTCTCTGCACCAGATACGTTGACCACCGATCGTTCTATCTGAAAAATAACTCAGAATATGCTAGTTTTTCTGGAGAACCACAGATCTCCGAAACCCGTCTCATTTTCATAGAATCAAGTTAAGAACAAAACTTGGGGTCAAACGATCACTACTAGAAGTCACTTATGGCCATTTTGTGATTCACCATGATTTGTTCTCTCTACACTGGAAGTTCTGTAGCTGTATGCCTTTTCGGAATGATTTATAGCATGTTTTCTCTCTTGCAGTCAGATAGAAGGACAAACAATTATTTTCACAAGAACCCTTCCTTTTAGTCGAAGAAGCCCATCAGTAAAATCCCCTATGTTTCTAGCACATACTGGGACTCAGTTAAAACAACTTCATACACATTTTCTCAGAAGAACTGGCGTGGTTTAATCAATTTCAGATTCAACGTGCTATTTATGTCGTTGATTGTGCAATCATGATATCTCAGTAATCAGTTTAACTACTCATAAAATCCTTGGACTAACTAATCTAAGAGCCTAACCTATAAACCCCTTAATTATAGCGCATACAAATTACACGTTTTTTCTTTTTGCCCTAAGTTTTATTTTAATAATCCACAAGCAACCGGGCGTAAAAACCAGTGATTTTCAAGGAACAAAACACAAGCGAAAAGAACCTCTCGAGATCACGAATAGAACTTATATTTTTACATACAGATAGATTACATACTTTTTGCCTGCTGTAGATGAAACGTGACTTTATTACAACCGAAAGTTACTTTTAGAACAATTGAAGTTGAATTTTCATGCACAATAATGCAGCTTGCAGAGAATTTAATTGTCTAGAAACG